GAAAGGTTGATTTCAACTTTCCCCTATCCCCTGGATACGTCCGTGATGATGACTTTCAATTCAAACCTCTCAGGTGGAAAAGCGACAAAATAAAAGTAAGGAGCAAATTCGATTTTCAATCTTATTTACTTAAATGTAAGTTAATTTAATCAATTATAAAAAACACTCGAATTTCAACAAATTGTCTAAATTAAGTGCAAAATTCAGTTTAATCTCTCAAAGAATCTTCCTAAGGAACTTTCTTGTCCCCACAGAAATAAAATTGAAAATGTCAGACAATAAATTCGAATTAAATATCTATGACAACTGTCGGAATAAACATCAACATAAATCACAATTTAGTCCATTAATGATTCCATTCATCTTGATGTTTTTCCTTATTTTCCCTTCCAGAATAATCATAGACATCAAATCGAAAAGCATCCTCGTGCGAAAAGTTGTTTGTTGCTTTGTATTTTGCAACTTACTTGAGTCATAATAAGATTGCGGAATTATTTATAAAAAAATCATGAAATTGCTATTTTAAGGAGTGAGGATTGACTTTGATTAATTCTAGAGTTTTATAAAATTGACAATAAATTTAGAATCCGTGAGTACTGACTCGTAAATATCATGTGCGGTAAATGAAATGTAGAAGCGCGTCAATAGTGACAAGGGACTTCATGTGATGATGTCGTCGATTAGAAAACGCCCAAGCCAGAAGACATCACATGCAAATTGACAAAAAACATTTTCTTAAACATAAAACGCATAACCTAGCATCTAATCGACTACAGCTCATGTCTTGGTATAGCCATTTATTTCAATAAGCTTTATGAATATTAATGAAAATTTTCTTTTTGGTTTTCAGCTTTTCTTTTCATTTGCATCCTCGTTGTTCTTATCGTAACATACATAATTTCATTTCTTAATGCGCAATCTAAATTTTCATCTTATTCAGGTTTTGTAGGTAAAATGGGTAATATCATGAATATTAGGGATATTTTCTGATTAATATTTAGACATTTTTCAAATTTTATTATGCGTGGCTGTAGGAAAATTTGAGCTTTTTTGAGCTTAAGAATTTTTTTTTGCTTTGCAGCAACGACAATACTTAGGTCCTTTCAATGGAACATAAACTGGTTTTAGAAATTCGTTCGAATTTTAATGAATTCAAATTTAATTTGATTTTTTCTATTTAAATTTTAATTAAATTTTGTAAAATTTTTGTTTTAAAATTTCAATTAGATTATTTAAATGAGAAAACAGAAAAAGCTCAAAAGAAGTTAATAGCTTTAATATTAGAACTTTCGGTTGCTGAGGCTTACATAAGTTCATTTAACTTCAAAATACGTCAAAAAATTTATTTAAACCACATCAACAGAAAATAATTATTTCAAAGAAATGAAAATTGTTAAATTGAAATTTTGCTCATCAAAGGTTAACCATGGGAAGGTGGAAGTGAATAATTTATATCTCTTGATTTTTAATTATGAAAAATTCGGTAGACAAATTAGTGGCAATTACGGAAAATGATTTTAAATTGAGATAAATTGGTAAATTATTTATGTAATAAGATTTGGGGTGAAATTAGGTAAGCGCATTAAAAACCATTTCTTTTGTGGATATTAATGATTAAATTTTGATAGACTGCCAATTAAAACTTATGATTCGACTGTTGATAGCTGAAAAAAAAAGTTTTTTTAAACTATTTTAATTTAAAACAAAATTCTAAAACTTTAAAATTCAATAAAAAGTAGAATTAATTAAAATGTAAATTTCATTCCAGTTTTGCATATTAATTCATATTTTTGAATGCAATTAGTTAAAATTATCAAAATGACTTCAGCTAACATCAATGAATAAATATGCACCAACGAAGATTAATTAATGTGAAGGGGCCGTTCACTTATGACGTCTAGGGGGGGGGGGGGGGGGGTTCCGCAAGAAAAGAACAATAGAAATTCCTGGAAATCCATTGTTCTCTTTTGAAAAATGACCGTTATTTTCGGACGTCATAAGTGAACGATCCAAAGCATATTTGCCCTTAAAATAGTCAAAACTTTTCATTTCAGAAATATTTTCGTTGTGAACTATCTAATGTATTTTCTAACTTATGGATGTACTTTTTACTCTATTTGTAATGTTTAAAATGAGAAAGTTTTGATATCGTTACGCTTCTTTATGCACTAAAAATATTAAATCTAATTAAAATATTCACACAAGTTCAATTTATTAACTTACTCTACATAAAAGTAGTAACGAAAAAGTATTTCTGGATTTTCGGATTGTGATAAAAAGTTGTATAATGTTTGTGAACTTCAGAGTTGTAAACTTAGTGATATAAATCAACTAGTTTTGGTAAAGAAGGCGTCCTCACCTCCTTCCTTTTACTGACTGAATCAAGATCCCAAATAAATCAATTAATCAACTATAAATTCATAACTTTCCTTAATTGTTCTGGAAATTTCCCATCTCTGCATATGAAATTAATACAACATGTTCAACTTTATCGTAGCTGTCAAAGGAAAAAAGTTTCTAATTTATGGAACATATCACTCTAATATAAATATTTATACAGTACAGAATGGAAACTTGAGAAGAAAAGAGAGAGGAAATGTTTCCTCGTTTTCATGCTTTTACTTTACTACGATATGAACTACATTCTATGCCATTTCACATCTGAAGCTCTTTAAATGAAATGGAAAGCTTAATGAGGTGTGAAATAAACAACTCAATTAAGTAATTCTGCAGAATGAAAACGATCTTTTGAGTAAAATTGACTCAGTAATTTAATTTACTTGTTGTTTTCTTTCTGACTGATACAAAAACGAAAATAATGTTCACAATTTTACATAACATATTGACACAAACTGAATGAAAATAAGCTCTTATCTTATCATTTTATCTAATTACTACATTATGGGTAGACATTTTATCAAGTGCACAACTGACGTCAATAGTATCAGAACAATGGTCATTACTCTATTATATTATGTTATGTTAAAAACTCAAAGAACAAAGAGAAGTCCATAATAATTTAACGACTTATTTAATTAAGAAAGAAAAAAAGTCATTAAAGACACAACGAGCATAAAGCAATTTTTGTCATTACTTATTCTTCTCATACTCGAGGATGAGGATTGTGTTGCAAAGTTGCATTATCCGATGAGAAGATGCAGAACAGAATAAAGCTTGTTTTAAAACCTGCACCATTCTTCCTCATATTTATTTTTTTCTGCTCATAACTTTTACGTGCTTTTATTATTTTTTCATCATTTTTAATGAAAGTTTTTTGAAGCTAGTTTTTGTGCTTTTGCTTTGTCTTTATGTACTGTTTGGCTGCTTTTCTAACTTAAACTCATGAATCACATTCTTCCTGAATCACGTTTGTCTTGGCTTAAAATGCCACAACGATACAAATTTAATTGTAATAGTTGCTACATTTGCGTCAGAGATACATAATCGGCTATTAAACTTAAGCTTCAAACTATTGCATCCCACAGCTATGTCAAGCTTATCAATTGAATGTAGTCTACCACAAGACGATTGAACAAATCACATGGATTCAGTGGCAAAAAAACAACATATGTTGTATTTAAAATCCTTTAGATTAATACAGACTGTTTCAAAGTCTAACTGATGCAGTCGCTCTTATTAGAAGAATGCGCTTCAGCATCTTCCAAACTTTCCCTCACATTCATGCTTTTCCATGTCAACATTTTTCATGTACACATGATTTTTTTCGGTGGATGAACACGAAATGTGTTAGAAGCATAAGATAAGAATAAAAGAATGATGGAAGCATGATGAGTATGGTTAAAGAAAACAATGGTTTCAGCTTGAGTTATTTATAGCTTTCATAATGACTTTATAACTTTGCAGAGTCAAGAATGATCTTAATGTCAAGGATAAAGGTGGAACAAATGACCTTTAACAGAAAGCTGTGAAATACTGAATTTTTTTTTTATGAATTTAGATGCTTTGAGGATGTTCTGCTTGATACTTTGTGGAAACCATAATTCAATATTTTACATAGCTTTTGAGCTCAAATTATCAAGAATTTTTTGATTACTTTTCATATTTCTAGAGAAATTTGTGAGAGTCATAAACCATAATTGACATAAATCCTTTGTAAATATTTTATAAGCTACAGTTGTAAAGGAATACCAAAAATTCCTAAACTGTAAATATTCGTAAAGCAAACAAGTTCATCAGAACTTAATAAAATAACTTCATACCCGAGCAGCAGCAGACATGTGACGTGACTGTTGCCATATCAACTTTCTGAATGCCAAGGTGACTGCAGTTTCTCGAGAATTGTTCAAAGATGACATAAAAGTCTTTGAATAACATTCTGAATAAAATCCTGTGTTAGCATTTCCGATTTTATTTAGGTACAAAGTCTTTAAACGCTTAAAATCATAAAGAATTTATTCCTCAGAAACTGAAATAGAACTTAATACCTCGGGAGGAATCATCCCAACAGAATTGAAACAAATATCATGGTCAACACTCAATGCCACATCAAAATTACTCATCGTGACCAAATTTATCAATAACTCATTACGAATTCGATTTATTTTTATCAGATTTTTGGAACTGCGCAACATAAGACTAATAAATAAATAATAAACATCAGAAATGTAAATACAAAACGATGTAAGACCATTCATAACGAAAAAATTATGAACATGTGATATGAACATTCCAATGAGGAAAAAATGGAAAATGGATGGAAAAATTTTCTCTCACTGGATGTTAGGAAGTTGTGTATATGATAAGCAAAGGAAAGTTGAATGAAATTCACAATCATCGTCGCAAACTCGTTCGAATCAGACACAAAAAAGTTTTCTTCCTTCATTGTCTGATTTGTTGATTCAAGCCACAGTAAAAATATCCTAAAACGATCAGAAAAGTGAAAAAATATAAAAAAACTTTTTCTTATTTTTTCGACAATTTTTAATTTAATTTTTGTCAAAAAAAATTTGTGGATTTAAAAAAAATAAAAAGTGGAAACGATGAAATACTTTGTAGTTCTGTCATTATTCTGTCTCATTCTTGTGACTGTCAAAGCAAATCCATATATGGATAGTGATTTAATGCTAGGTGGTAAGTTGTATGTTATTATTAACTCAATTGTTGGTCAATTTACTGAATGAGAAATAACTCAAGCTGACATAACGTGACTATAATGTGAGAAGACGACGGCATTTTCCGACCATATGGAAAGGAAGAAAAAAGTTCACAGAACGAGCAATTTTCTTTCTTCATCCATTTGAGGTGTTTCCTTACCCAACGGCACTTTCTTTCTTTCTTTATAAATTATTTACAGTCAACTTATTTGAAGACTGTTTGCTACTTTATGTCTCAATTCTCATATAAAGTGTGCATGTAAAGGAATTTTGAGTATTTTTAAATTAAGCAAATCCTTTCAATTTCCACAAAATCGTGAGTAGCATAAAAAATGTTTTGAGGAAGAAGAAATTTCAAGTTTTTAATGGAAAATTGAAAGTACAAGATTCTATTTGTATATCCAACGAATAATAAATTGTTGAGTGACAATAAAAATATTTTATTTATGCAAACAAATCAGCAGAATGGGATGATAAAGAAAAAAGGTTTGTGTAGGATTGAATGCGATGCAAAACAAACAGAACAGAACAGCAAGGAATGTCACTCAATTTGTTGAACGGAAAGAAAGGAATTTAAGGAATGTAACATATTCTGAATAAAAAGGAAGAACGGCTTAAGACTTGTTGCTTTCGTCGGGAAATAATTCAATATTTTTGTTCTTATATTTTGTGTATGTTGGAACTGAAAAATTTATTGACTGTGAAAAGCTATTAAAAATTTAATATTGCCTTGAGAATTCTTTTCATTCCATTTTCATGAATGAAACTTTTTTGTTCATGCATAATCCTAATCCATGTCTTATTTTTCGCGTCTGTTTCTTATTTCTGAATTTCCTCGAACTTTTTTTTTGGAACTTTCTTCTTCCTTTTATTTATACAGAATCAATAGAATATTCAAATATGATGATGGTGCTCAAATTCTGATGTCTTTTGAGTATTTCCAATTTCTTTGATCATTTCCATTCTTTTCATGTATCTCATTTTCATTTTACATCCTTTTACATGAACAATTTCACTTCTAAATGCACATTTTAAACGTTAAATGATACAAATTAAATTCCAAATTGCTTCCTCGCTCAACTAAATATTGATGTGCTCATGCTCATTTGCTTGTTTAAATTTCTGTAAAATCATTCAAGTTCCACAAACAAGCACAAAAACGGAGAATTTTCAAAACACACGATGAAGAAATGTGTCAAAAATTGTCAATTTGATGATGAAAAGGCACAGAAAGTGATTGATGAGGAATTGGACATTTTAGATGGGCAATATGCGTCTCATCTCCACATATACACTCAAGTACAGAGATTAAGAGCGATGACTAAGAAAAATTAATATCGATGGTCTATTATTACTGGTGGATATCCACAAAAAAAATGTCATTTGAGAACCATTTTGTGCTTTTGGGAATTCAGTTCTATTTTTAACAGCCATTCATCTCAAGTTTCATTCTAATAAGATTTTTTGTTGTGGATCAAATTTCATTCATCAAGAGCTAATAAAGTACAGCACATAAATTTTGTGGACCAAATCGTATCGAATTAAAATTTATTGCATGGATGTCCATAAATCTGTAAATTTATCACTCAATCTGTGTATTGAGGTTATCAAAGTTCATCACAGGCTGTGACTCGTGAAATTTAATACAATAAGAAAAGTTCTGTGCTTCAATTTACTTCCTTCAATTATTATCTCATGTAATAACAATTAAGTAACATCTTTGGGACATAAATTTTAAAGAACTCGGTCTGTACATCCAAATGGGAAATTCATGACTTATGCATTAGTTTATCCTGCGCTAAATTGCTGTGAAACTCTCGTGTGCTGCAATAAAAATTGAATTTACATCACAAAAATTTCCCAAATGGTTTAAAAATAAACAACATCCAAATGCCTTCATAAATATAATTCCAAACTTTATTGACAGAAGCACTTGAAGTTCTATGATACAAAATGGAATCATACATGTCATGCATGAATAGAAGCTCATCAAAATAGCAGCAAAAAAGGAGTAAATCAATTTTTGAAGAGGAAATTCTGTCAATAAACTTTTCATTTACTCATAAAGTGTTGATGCCTGCTTTAAATTGACACAAAATGGAAAGGAAAAGTTTTCTTTTTCCATCACAGAAATTTGATTCCATCATCAAGTTTGAAATCTGACGCTACTCCTTTATTGTGATTCAAAGAAAACTTCCTGACTGACTTCTATTAGCAAAAATAACTATGGAATCCATATTGCGTTGAATAAAATCAATTTAAACTTTCATGCTTAGTTGAACTGTATTGAATTTCACTTACAGGATAAAAAGTGCTTCTCATTTTCAATTCTTTTGAAAAATTCTTCACATTGAAATTAAAATCAACTTTAGAGCAATATAAGATGTTGCAATATTTCCTTATAGACAGTCTGACTGGCTTTTCCTCATTTTTATGATTGGAATCAATCTAGATTCATAAAATTGCCATCATCATCATTTACATGCAAATATTTATTTGAGGAATTACTTGTGGATGATGAAAATGCAATTGAATATTGACATAAAGTCGTACAAGTTATGCTATGGTCTGACAGTTTCTATTTTGCGTACGTTTGCAATATTTGCAATAGAATAATATTGCAATAAAAAATTGTGGAACGGAAATTGATATCTGTTGAATGTGCTGTTCTGATCACTGTTTGTGGCACAAACACGAGACTTTATTGAAAAACTTTAAGAGGAAAAGAATTCAGATTTAAAAGGGTTCCCTCCTACATCCAATAACCACATATATTTACATTTTAACCAGTCCGTAATTCGATTGATTTAACACAATAAAGACAAAATTCCATGCATGAAAAACAACAGCTTCAAAAGTGTAAACCAAAACAAAATATGCAGAATGCAAGATGAGAAGACACTTTGTTGCTGTGCATGCAAATCGCTGTTGAATGAGAATAAAAATTGATTACAGCAACAATCATCATTCATGTCAGGTTCAACTGCAATCAATTTTTATTGACATCATGGTTCAAGTCCTTTGGATTAAATTTAATTCTTGTTCATGATGCTTTTACCAGAGATTTAATTCTTGCCGACGTCAAAAACAATTTTAAGTCAAGACTGAAAACTCAAGAGAAAAGTTGTGGATGTAAACAAACTTTTTAACATGATGTACAACTTCTTTTCAATCAATCTCTAAACCAGACTTTGAATGTAGGAAATTTGTGGTTTAGACTTAAATTAATCGTTGTAAATGAAGGAAATGAAGCTACAGTAAGTCAAGTCATGCATCAAGTTCTTAATTTTCAATCAAATTTAATATCAAAATTTAACTTTATTGAAATGAAAGGAATTCGGATGGAAAATTTCAATAAAAATCAAATTTGGATGATTAATTCAGTAAAATGACTCTTAAAGCTTCATGGCCAGTATCACTTGAAAATTTCATTAATCTCATTCGAATTTATTTAATTAATTATGTTACAAAAATAAACTTGAATCAAATTTTGTCATCAGCATGTTTAAATTTATAACAGGCACAGATCAGATTTTGTGGTTTAATTGATAATTGATTGGAAACGGCCAGTCGGCGACACACAATGCAAAATTGTCATATCCAATGAATCGATTAAAATTGTTACATGAGGATGTCCACAAATAAGCAATCACATTCTCATTCCACAAAACACTTTATTCTGTCATTTTCTCACTTGACTTGTTATTGCTTTGACTATGGATATGTTGCTGCATATGAAAATTGTGAATGACTTCATGCTTGACTAAGTATCTAATGACGTCTGAAACCGAAACTTCATCCATTCAGGATATTTTAAGGAATAAAAATCAGAATTGTGCATCCATCACATAGATACATTGCAACGCACAGCATAGTTGAGTCTACAGTCTGAGGACTTTGTAGCAAAGTCAGAGGACGAGAGGAAATAGCTTTCAGTCTTGTTAAACGCTTTATGTGTCATAAACTTGTTGTGTTTAAGCATAAACATCTCTCATCACATATTCATGACGACTACCTGTTGGACATAAATGATAAGAATGCCTCAAGGGCAATAAGGATGGAATGTCATCTTAAGCATTCATTCAGTCGATTGACCAAACAATTTAATTCTCATTTCCATCATTTTCATAGCCAATAGCATCTTGTGATGTGCTGTGCGTAATGCCTTTAATTTTCTAATTTAAATATAGATGATGAGCTTGGTTACTCGGAAGGAGTCAACTATCTTGATGAATTGATGGCTCCAGCAGAGAAGTAAGTCCCTTACAGCATAAACTATTGATGTCGTAGATAGAAATGAGAAAAATGATTTTATATGTGTGGGAAAAAGTGGAAATGGAAATTGTGGAAATTTTTCTCAAAAAATTATTTTCTAATTTTTATTAGACGCTCTTCCATGATTTATGTTTTTAGGCGAGCATGCATCAGACGTTCGGGAAATTGTGATCATCGGCCCAACGGATGTTGTGCAAATTCTTCATGTCGTTGCAATCTTTGGGGATCTAATTGCCGATGTCAACGAATGGGATTGTTCCAGAAATGGGGAAAATAAAGCGGCAGCAACGACGATAAACAACTTTTGATGACTTTCATATCCCGTTCTGTAAATTTGGTTTTATGATTTATTTATGCTTGTTGGATGCGATTTTTATATTTTTCATGAATCCACAAACTTGCAGTTTCTATTTTTAACCATGCAAATACGAAACAATGTTCAGTTCTAGTCATCAAGATTTTATCATTTAGATCCAAAGAACGCAAGTTTTTATGATTTTAAAATTCAGCATCCAACATTTTCGTTCTAATTTTAATTTTATGATTTTTCGAGTATTTTTAAATTAGAAATTTGAAGTAGGAAAGTGATTAATGGATTTTTGACCTTCTTGCGCTCAATATTAACAATGGACTAACGAGAGGCAGCTAAAATAATAAAATTAAGTATGAAAAAGGTTTTCATATTCTGTAAAAAAATAAAATTAATGAAATTCTCATCTTATTTTGGTTCTTAACTGAACAAAGACTTGACAAATTATTATTTTTATTAGTTTTTGAAGTATAAAATGGAATGAGAAGAAGAACTCATCTGTATTCATAAGAAATTCACGAACGAAACTTTCATTGCCACAAAATATTCCCAGCCACAATTTTCTGACAATGAAAGTCGCGTCTTTCGAATGTGCCAAGGCGAAATTATATCCTTAAAAAGAAATCCAGCTTTTTGCCTTTGCACATGAAAGTTTAACGAGATTTTTATTTTTTGTTCCTTAATGTCATCCACAAATGATGAATTAAATTATTTTTATACATGTGAAAATTTCCCATCCCAAAATAAAGCACGGAAGTGTTTGATTCTTCACCTTTTATGTTCCATGAGTCATTTTCCATTAAAATTTATTAATGAAATTTCCTTTCATTGCTTATGCTTTTGTCATTACTACAACAGCCTCTGTGAACTTTTTATAGACATCAAATGCAGGCGAGCTTTCTTCTTGCTCACTTTTTTGTTGCTTCAAGCACTTCCTTTCTCATTATTGTTATTCTTATCACTTCTTTTGGTTCATTCACGCATTTCGGACAAAATTTACGTTTATTTACGAGATCAAGCCTCGGTTAGGTCTTAGTCATTTATATTTTTAGAAATTTAATTCAAAAATTCAGTTCTTTCGACTGCATGTAAAGTTTTTAATACAAAAAATAATTTAAACTAGTGTATCGGGTAGAAACCCAATGCGGATTATATTCACACCGTACTATCATAAGTCTTATGAATAGACCAAGATTTGCCCATCATAAGTATGAAGGTATGAAGCTTGATAAGTCAACTAAGCTTCGCTCAGCATAAGTTTGAAGGTATAAAGATTGACGAATATGCCAAATATTCTTTAAAAGTTTTTTAAAAAAAATTTTCATCCAAAGTTGAATTTTATAAAAATCACAGTCAACTTTTGTTTTAAAAAATTCGTAAGAAAGGAAAGTTTTTTGCCATTTCTGAAGCAACGGCTGTTCCTACCTTGCCCAAAAACAATACAGCTCTTCTATAGAGTAGCACGGATCAAATGTAAAAAACAAGAAGTCTCTACGATGTCTCGTTATTGAGATTTCTTGCTGATTAACTTGCTTGCTTGCTTGTTTGCTTACAGAAAGCGTATTTTGCGATTTTCTCAGCAATGCCACAACCAATTTGAAATCTGTTTTTTGAAAATGATGTAAAATTTCAGGCACAAACTTTTCTTCTTGCCCTTTTATAACCAATTTTGCTTTGTTTTCTCACAAAATGCGAAAAACTGATTTTTCAATCTGAACAAAACCAATAGATTCACACGTGAAAACGGTGTGAATATAAAAATAATCTATCTGAATTTACTGACTATTGTAATGTAAAAAAATAATCAGAAATATTCTACATGGAAAGGTGTCGTTAATATCCAACATAGCAGAAAATCTAATGTCATCAACATGAACAAAAGACGAAAAATCTAATATTATCACATGAAATTCTATGTTTTGTATTTAATTAAATCTTATATTTATATAAAGGACATAGTAAAATTCTTCTTGATATGGCTTCGAAAAATACAATAAAATTTAACTTAATGTTTTAATCAAATAAAATGAAGAATGTTCTGTTTTATAGTTGAAATATATAAAATGTCAATGATAATATTTACACAATTTCTAATTGATAAAAGTTCCTGAAAGTCTGGTATCAAAAATTGAAAAATTGTAAGATTTAAAAGTGTACAGTTTATGGTCAAAAAAAAAAAGATCGATGGATGAACAAGAACAATAATAAAGAATGGTGAAATTTACTTACAAAATCATCGCTGTGCGTGGCATTTTAATTATTTTTTTGGATTTAATATTGTCCTTTTAATTTACATTGTGGGTTGTTTTTATCTTTCAGGCTATTTGCAATTCTAATAAGATGGCCTTAATTTTGATTTATTATGTGATCCTTGAATATTGTTCTTTGTAGTAGACCTAAATAAAATGAGAACTTTTTCAATTTTCTTTTCCAGATTCTACAGTTATAGGTAATTTTCTCAAAACGTTAAGATGCTTGGAAGATTTAAGTATGAGATTTAGTAGCTGGATGTCTTATGTCTGCAATTTAATTTATTGTAGAAATTAACGATTTTTGTACATTCAAATAAGGTTGACAATCCCCTTAAAAATCTTTATTTTTAAAAAAAAAGATGCAAACTTTTAAATCTGAAATTGTCGTTAAAATGAAATTATCGGTTAAATTAATTCAATTACAAGCTAAGTGGATGACCTTTTATATTCTTTTTTAATATCCAAAGTAAATAGCTAATTTGACGAACGTTTCCATCCTATTACTTCATTATTCAGGCCTGCCTTTCTAAAGAAAATTAGCACACCAAAATAAAAAAGAAGGTTATTCTCATCCAATAGCTTTGTCACGTACAATATTATCCATAATTCATCAACATTATCCCATTAAATATAATATAATATTGTATAGTAATGAAAATTTTCTTCCAGCAATGCTAAGTCTCAAGGATTATCCAAGCATCAATTTCTTATTTGTTGCTTACACTGAAAAATTCATTGAATAAAAATAAATAAATCTCTTGACACCCACAGTCTATGACGACAATATGCAGGTCACATAAATTTGTAGCCAATTGCGAAAAAAACAGCAAACGAATTTCGATATTTAATTAAATTTTTTATTAAGCATACTGATTCTCATTTGATGATACTGTTGACCTTTAAAAGGGGTTTTGGATTGTGTGACATTTAGCAGATCTTATCATATAATTAATAATTAAACAGCCATTTCCATTTTGATGGGTGGATAAGGATCATATCCAATGACTTCGAAATCTTCAAACTTAAAGTCATCGATATTAGGAACTTGACGCTTGATTTTTAGCTGTGGGAATGGACGAGGGTTGCGTTCGAGTTGCTCTTTGAGAGGCTCAATGTGATTCGTGTAAATATGAGCATCACCAAAAGTATGAACAAAATCGCCAGGCTTTAAATTTGTAACATGAGCAATCATGTACGTCAATAGAGCGTATGATGCGATATTAAAAGGAACTCCGAGACCCATATCAGCTGATCTTTGGTATAATTGGCAACTCAACTCGCCATTTGCGACATAAAACTGTACCAGACAATGACATGGTGGAAGTGCCATTTGTGGAATATCCACTGGATTCCAGGCACTTAAAATAATTCGTCGATCATTTGGATTAGATTTAATGCGTTCAATAACATCTTTTAATTGATCAATTCCTTGTTTGTCATATTCATGATCGCATGTCTTATATTGGGCACCAAAATGACGCCATTGAAATCCATAAACTGGACCCAAATCACCCACTTGACGCTCATTAAAACCGGATGCATCGAGGAATTCACGCGTACTGTTTCCGTCCCAAATTCGTATATTCTTCGCTTGAAGCAATTTAGCATCTGTGGAACCTTTTATGAACCATAAAAGCTCCTCAGCGACTCCTCGCCAAAATACTCGTTTGGTTGTCAACAATGGAAATTGATCCCGTAAATTAAAGCGCATTTGTGCACCAAATATACTGACAGTTCCAACACCTATCCAAATATGCAAATGTCAATATTAAATGAAGTTAATTTAAATATTCAAGCTCTTACCTGTACGATCGCCCCGAGCAATTCCTTTCTTTAAAATTGTCTTAATTAAATTAATATACTGCATCTCATCGTGCTCTTCATCTTCATGATTACCATTCGAAATCCCATCCTTCTTATGCTGTATTTCAGTTTTTAGAGATCCATTCACTGAAACTTCCGAATTTCCATTTACTGCTTCCTGCAAAGATATAATTACAATTTGTTCATATTCAACCCAACCGAAGATTAAATCCTTACCATCTCTTAATATTTAATGATTAAAACCGTGATGCTAATGATGATATAAATAAATTTTTATGATGATTAAACTTTCAATGTGCTCAAATATTCGTTCTTCTAAGTACAGTGAAACCTCTAAGAATCGATTGTTTATGGTTTTTGTCGCAAAAACTGAACAAGAGAAGATATGTGATTTTTAAGTCTTAGGCAGTCTTAGGTATCTGTTTATTCCCTTAATATCGAAAATTGACCAGAGTGATGAAATGTATCAAAAAGTTTTTAACGGTTTTTTCGATTTTAAATTGCAAGATTAGATCAGAAATTTTATTCTCCTTTGTTTGGTTTAAAAAAAAGTAATAAATTGTCCCCGAAACATAGTTAAATAAACAAAATTAAGTTAAAGAAATTTTACCGGTTTTAAATTTTTTGAATTTTTTATGTCGTGAGATGTTTGTTTACAAACAAAAATTGAAATGAAATTTAAAAAATCATGAAAATATCACTCAATAATGATGTTTAAGCTCTTAAAATAGGCAGAATAGCTAACGTATCATCTACTTTTCGTAAACATATCATAATATTTGGGAATAATGATTGAATAATTAAGATATTTGAGAATTTAATTTTTGATGTTTTGTAAGATAGTGTTAGTGAATTTCAAATTTAATTTTTCCGTTGAGCAATAATCCTTAAAAAATCGTCGAGGCCCTCTTAAAATATTCTTAAATTTCAGTTAAATCCACATGAAAATAAACTGTAATATTCAAAGAGGTTCCGACATAAACATGTTTCACTGTACGTTTATCGTTTTAGCGCCAAAAAAAGGGGACTGAGAAAACAAAATAATTTCAAATATTAACGAACTTTTTCTTGTTCGATCGCATGCTTTCATCACATTTCTTTACACAAATGTCTTTTTCATTTCAGTGACATTAAATTAACATCTTGTTTGCATGAAAACTCAAATGTTTCTTTTCAGACTTCTTATTTTTTTCCGTTTATAAATGTTTGTAGCCAATGAGTGCGAACAAAGAAAAAGTCAGTTAATTTTGGTTAATTTCGAAAAATTCAAAAAAAAATCGAAAACATGAAATTTTGAAAAATAAAAATACGTTAACGACTTAGTTAAGAAACAAATTTATTTTAATTGTTTTTTGATGAAAAATTGTTTCTTTTGTGTATTAATCGACACTATCGACACTATAATCGATTGATAGTTTATCAATCATGTAGGATACACAAGAAATTTTTTTTTACAGTCAAATTCTATGTCATGAAATTCAAGGAATTGTATCCACTTTTCTCGATGAACTGTGTTTTTTGTTAATCCAAACTATGGTATTTTAGCTATTTTACTGCCTTTACAGCCTTTAATAGAGCATTTTTCAACCATTTTTTTAAATTTAATTTTCAAGAAGTAATTTGAATGCAAAATGTAAACAAATAATTGTAACGGAAATTTCAAATTCAAAATTTTTTTCCCGCGTTCGAAAATTAGATCCTTCGAAATCGAAAATTAGTTCTCATCCGCACTCATTGGGTTTGTAGATAAGATAGAAGCACAAAAAGTTGTTTGAACATGCTTTGTAAAAGGAAAACGATTCTCATGAGATAGAAAAAGAGGAAAAATTATCAGCACACTCAGGAGAATAAAGAATTTTCATCCTTTTTCCAATTTTTCAGTCTACTGAATGGAAAATACGTAAGAGAATTTTTTAAGGCATTCCTTATTAAATGTTATCTTTGGAAATAAATATCAACCATATTCACATATATTGTATAAAAATAAACTTTTCGTTTTATGATTTTATGTCTTGACATTTTCGTATCCTCGATGTTAAGGTGTGCTGCATATTTCCTCGTACATTATTGTCATGCATACATGGATATTACTTTTCATTGAATATTTCCTTCTATGGCATTTTTGTGCAATTCATGTTTTCGTTTCTATGCAAAGTCAATGAATGGTGACATTAGGAATAGAGGGATATTACCTCTCGTTTAAAATCACGAATTCCCACTCTGTACTTCAACATCCATCTATGTCCTGACTGTCACAATTGTTGCTTTTCGTATATAAATGTAAAAATAAAGAAAAAAAACTTCATGAATAAAACATGAGGTATATCCAGAAATAATGCTTAACAATGACTACCAATAATGTCAAAAAATTTAACATTTTTCTTACTCAAATCCTTACAAGAAGGCATACACATGTGCTAAATTTACCTGCGTATTTTTACTTTCTTCTCACGTGAGTTGGCGTTTCAACTAAATTTAAACAAATGACTTTTATGGGTTTAGTCGTGGCTTTAAAAAGATTAAATTTATGGATCATGTTTATTTTCGTGACATCCAAAATCCTACCTTAACTTTCGAATCTTTTATTACTTCTTGATGTTAGGTCAAGGACGAGGAACCTTGACTTGACTTGGATTTTGATACTATCAATCACTCCACCCACACACAAAAAAGTTTGCTATTCTTTGACTTTCTTTTGTTAGCACAAGTCTCATGTGACGTATCTAAATGTAAACACGGCGTCTCGCGACACACAATGGATTACATACAGTGTAGCGTGTGAAATTGGATGTTTCGCGTATCATCATCAATCCGAGCATGTTATATGCTGATAAGCCTCACAGAAGAATTACTCGTTTTATGAAAGAAACCGTAATAAATTTTCTTCTGTTTTCAAATCCTATTTACGGCATCTAAACATGTTGTGTTCTGTTATGGCACATATGGAAGCAACGTCTGCAATAAAATGAATTTCCATGTGTATTGTTGAGTTTAATGTTAATCTCACAATGACTTTTTTGTGTATTGTGTAAATCTTGATAGACATAAAAGAATCAAATAACGAAAGATGTTCCCTTAAGCCACAAATTGTACTTCAAAATTGGAATCTCCCAAACATAGATGATATTTGATTTATTTATGAAAAACATGTCTTATGGCTCGACATGATATTCGATTCTTGATTATTATTATTCTATCCCTAAAATTCTTATTGTTTTTTGAAAATTTAACGGTTAAACGAAATAATTTTTTTTGTAGTTGATTTTTCTTAAAATTTTATCCCACTTCAAAAAGTTTTTTGCAAATTATTTAAAATCAAACCAATCTTAAACTTCAACTCTCAAAAAAACCTAATCTATAAAATGGCAAGAGTTGAACTAACCAAAATTTATGACTATTCCGAAAACAATTTTCATTTTAACGCTTTTTAAACTTTTTATTACATCACAAAACCAATTCTTACTAAGAAAAATAGCTAAAAAACAACAATTGTGATTTAAATTGGGAATTTTATGTAGCACAAGAAGTTTCCATCTCCAAATAAGTTTATATGGTTATTTTTGGGTCATCCCTTTTTCTTACCACTTATCGAATTGACTACTCATCTTACACGTGTTACAAATATGTGTTCTGTTTTATTTAAATGGAAATATTTTGTGAAAAAACAAGATAAGTCAACACTGCTCCTGTTCCTACTGTAAAATAATATGAGAAAATTTGAATGAAGTTTTTCATTTTATTTATTTTTAAATTTTATTTAGAAAAAACATTTTGGTTTTTATTTTTTGCTCTTCTTCAGTTTCAATAGTTTAATTTCAATAAATATCTTTTATTATATTTATAATTCATTTAGTATAGACATTAATAAAGTTTTGTTATGCATTATTAATCCCATTGAATTTTAATAATCTTCAATCTTTACATATTATACTTGTGTAAACATGTAATAAGAGATTTCATTTGCTTTATGATCAAGTCTCCTCAATTATTTAAAACTTTTTCCATTAAAATGCTAAATTGAGAAGACATTTTATTGTATTTTTTGAAGCCATATCAAGAAGAATTTTAGTATGTCCTTTAATATAAGATTATACAAAACATAGAATTTCATGTGATAATTTTAGATTTTTCGTCTTTTTAAGTTCATGTTGATGACATTACATTTTCTGCTATGTTGGATATTAACGACACCTTTCCATGTAGAATATTTCTGATTTTTTTTTTACATTACAATAGTCAGTAAATTCAGTAAATTCAGACAGATTAATCATATTCACACAAAATTTTCAATTTTTGTGAATATATTGTTTTTGGTTTTTCGGAAAATCAGTTTTTTTAACTTTCTGCTTCAGGCTTACGAAATCAACCCAAATACCTGATATGTAAAAGTTTGTGCCTCGAAATACCTATCTAATGGTGAAAACAATTTTTCATTTGGCAGTTCCAGTTCCAAAAACTCGCAAAAAAGGGCATTCTGTTGGTTAGTTAGTTAATCGGTGCGATAACTCGCTTCAAACTTAATATTAAGACTTCCGGTTTTTTGCTTCTGATAGATAATGGCTACCGCAAGAACTGTATTGTTTTTGGAGTCATAAGATGCTTCCAGTGAGGCACAAGATGCATAAACATTTTTGTATGGGAAAAGTTTAACCGATTATTACATAACATATTTATTTTTTGTTTACAACGGAAATATTTGTTGGAATTAGTGTGATATTAATAAAATGGTTGTGACAGTATGCATTAAGTTAAATGTATGTGAAAAAATGTTGGAACTAGCAAGTTCCTTTAGAAGATTCAGCATACTGTATCTATGTTATTAAATACAAACTTTATTTGTATCATAATGAAAATATTTTTTTTTTGTTTAATTCTTAATTTTTTTCCTACTCGATTATTTTGTTTTTGTTTCAAACAGGCTTATACTTACTGGATCTTATTTCCAACGACAGCACAATTTCAATCATATTCACACAAATTTTCAATTTTTTTTCAATCAATTTTACTTTCACAATGTCTATTAAATGATACATAATATAATTAAATAATTGAATTAATTTTCCACAATGATTTCTCACTTTCAACAAATTTTCAAAGTTCACTGCGAACTTTTTCTTATTTTCTTAATTATAAAATTGATTGAAATTGAAATTGTCAAAGCCTACTTAGATCTTTTTCTTATTTCTTAATTATAAAAAAAATTCAAATTGAAATTGTCAAAGCCCACTTGTACTTTTTCTCAAACTTTACTGGATCACAGTTGCAAGTTTCAGACATGCTCAACTTTTACTGGATCTTGGATTTAAGTTT